TGCAGAGGCTCCCTGGTGGGCTAACAAGTCAGCTAACCAAAAAGAAAAAAACCACCAAAAAACACACACACCTTTTTGATGAATTTCCTGATGTGTTTTAATATTCGTGCCCACCTTTAATTGCAATCCACTTCTTCAGACTGTCTAAAGTGGAATGTCATTCGTGAAAGCTCACACTAAAAATAAATTTGTTAGTCCTAAAGGTCCCATGACATACTTTGTTTTGTTTCCTTATTTTGTTTGTTTGTTCATATCAAAATAACACAGCCACCTTTTTGAAAATGGCTGAACTGAAAATACCCATAGGCCATGCTGAATGTCACTCATACAAGTACAGTAACTTCTACCATGTTACACATCAGTAACTTCCCTGCTAATCTTGTCAACTAGTGCAGTGTGCCCAATGCATATATGTGTTCTGACCTAAAATCTCACAATTAATAAAACCTAGAAGTATGTCTTGCCTTTACATAAGTTGCCTCATCATATGTATGTAGGGAAGCCTAGCCCATAGTTCTGTTCTTATTTTCAGAGCTTGGAATAGCTATTCTGGAATCCAAAGTATTTCAGAGGTTGGAATAAACTTGTGGCTATTAGGATCTGCTAAAAAAGAACCAGATTGTTCTTGTTCATATGGACTGGAATTTTCTTCTTAGAACTTTCTTCTTGATCACTGTAGCGTTAAGATGGTAATTTATTTTCTATCATTGAACATTTTGTGATGAACTCTCATAATCACAAATATATTGATGTGGTTAGTTTATGCTAAGTGTACAGCCTTATTTTCTGATCATCAGTCCAAAAGACAGAAAAAAAGGTCTTAGGCAGACAAAAAATGAACAGAAAAGATGTGGAAATGGAACTCATATATTTGTTTTGTATAATTCAGCACATGTGTCCTATCTACTCCTACAGCGAATGTTTGTTATGTGCCAGAAGCAGCAGAACTAGTAGGATTCTCTACAGGACAAAGATTAATTTACATTTCTAGAAGAAGAAGCAGGATCTAGATGTTCTCCAGTGTTAAAAACCAAAACAAACTGCACATAGAATAAAAGGGAGAGAGAGAATGCAGCTTGAGCAATTAGAATACAGCACTGCTCCTTGACATGCTGTCTTTCTACAAGCCTTGCATTTAGCCTGGTGTCAGTCCCCTTGTCATAGTCAGATCATCACCTAATAAAATGTAACCTCTCAGTGGCACTCCCTCCCTGCAGGGAGCAGGGGCTTATTTTGATGGTCCGCCCTCGAAAGTTACTGGATCCATTACAATTCCAGGATACCATGAGAGGGATTCCAGCTGATCTGTCTGGCACTCCTGTCAAAGCTCTGGTTGATGGCTGGATTGCCGCTGCAACTAGGGCCATAGACACGATCACTCTTAAACACCCTCTCCGTTGCAGAGCTCGGCCAGGGGCCTGGTATAATCAGGAACTACGAGCTATGAAGCGAAATAGGAGATGACTAGAGTGTACTTGGAGAGAAAAACTGACGGATTATAATGAGAAAGCTGTCAGGATCGCAACTAACCATTACCTGGCTAAGGTGAAGGCTGCTAGACGATAAGCGAAGCTTCAAATCAGCAGGCGGAACTTTTCCATATAGTTCGCGATCTATCCGAAATTGGTCTAGGTGATGGGCCTCCCACCAATATCTCACCTGACCAATTTGCAGCATTTTTAAAATCTAAAGTAGAGGCCATCTGCTGGGATCTCTCTCCTTTTTTAAATACAGTGGATTGAGCAGAAATGTCCAGCACTCCGCCTTGCCCGGTGAGATTCGAATTCTTTCAGCCCGTGATGCCAGATTTGGTGGACAAAGCGCTTGATCACTGTTGGGCCACCACCTCCTCCTTGACCTTTGCCCAGTCTGGCTAATCAAAACAGCCAGGCCTATAACAACCGAATGGGCCACTGCGATAATCAATGGGTCTGTCCTTGAGGGCAAGGTTCCTCCTGCCCTCAAGGAGACACTCATTAGGCCCATTAGGAAGAAACAAAATTTGGCAGCGGATGACATTGGCAACTATAAGCCCATCACCAATGTTTCTTTCCTAAGCAAAGTGGTGGAGAGGGTGGTGTCCGATCAGCTGCAGGCTCTTTTGGATGAAACCAATGTCCTGGACCCATTTCAGTCAGGCTTCAGGCCACGGCATGGCACGGAAACGGCACTGGACGCACTGTTGGATGACCTGTTGAGAGAGGCTGACAGAGGCAATATGTCCTTTTTGGTCCTCCTCGACATTTCAGTGGCCTTTGATACCGTTGACCATGGTATCCTCCTGGGGAGGCTCTCGGAGTTGGGAATCGGTGGACAGGCATTTGCCTGGCTCCGATCCTTCTTGGAGGACCGTCCTCAGCAAGTCCAGCTTGGAGAGAGTGTTTTGGCCCCGTGGAGCCTCAACTGTGGGGTTCCGCAGGGTTCCATCAACTCTCCAGTGCTGTTCAACATCTATATGAGGTCGCTAGGAGGGGTCATCGGGGGGTGTGGGGCTTTGTGCCATCAGTACGCTGATGACACCCAGCTCTATATCTCTTTTTCACCTTCCTCAGTGGATGCCGTCCCGTCCCTTGAGCACTGCCTGGAGGCTGTACTGCAGTGGATGCAGGAGAATGGGCTGAGGCTGAACCTGGGCAAGACGGAGGTCCTGAGGGTGGGTGGCCCCTCCATCTGCGGTTTGGGAAACTCCCTCTCTTTTGGGGGGGGTGACTCTCACTGTGAAGAGTGAGGTTCGCAGCTTGGGAGTACATCTGGACCCGGCGCTCAACATGGAAACCCAGGTGGCGTCAGTGGTCCGCTCCGCCTATTTCCATCTGCGGTGGATTGCTCAGCTGTGTCCCTATCTTGATGTTGGGGTGCTCACCACTCTGGTCCATGCGCTTGTAATTTCAAGATTAGACCACTTTAATGCACTCTACATGAGACTACCTTTGGGGTTGTTGCGGAAACTTCAAATGGTGCAAAATGCGGCGGCCAGACTTCTCACTGGGACAAGAAAATACCAGCACACCTCTCCCACTCTGGCCGTCTTGCATTGGCTTCCCATTCGTTTCCGTGTCGACTTCTAAGTGTTAATGATGACTTATAAAGCCTTAAACAGTTTAGACCTTGATACATGGTGGAGCGCCTTTTCCCACCTAGATATACCCGTGTCACTCATTTTAGCCAGAAAAGATGGCTGAGGGGCCTAACGCCGAGAGAGGCCCAGAAAGAAAGAACAAGAAACCTTGGCAGTGGCCCCTCAACTATGGAACACCTTGCCGCCGGAAATTACCTTGGCACCCTCGCTGGGTGTTTTTAAGAGTCATTTAAAGACCTGGCTCTTCAGGCAGGCCTTCCCTCCAGACAACACCTTATTTTCTTATTTTTCTTATTTCTTTAGCTTTTCTTCCATCTTGATCTTCTATTTTGCTGATTTAATTATGTGATTGATTTATATATACTTTGACGATTTTATCTGATTGTATTTTATAATGTTTTATTCTTCTTTGTAAGCCGCCCCGAGTAGACTCTGTCTAGAGAGGCGGGGTAGAAATCAAATAAATAAATAAATA